TATCGAAGATTCATTAAGGATTACTCTAAAATTGCAAAACCACTCACCGACTTATTAAAGAAGGACAAACCGTTTAATTGGAAGGATAATCAACAGGAAGCCTTTGAAACACTTCGCGACGCCCTGTGCAAATCTCCAATACTACAATTTCCAGATTTCACCAAGACTTTCATACTGACAACGGACGCGTCCGGATACGCAATCGGAGGAATTTTGAGCCAAGGAGAATTAGGTAAAGACCTCCCAATAGCATACACTTCAAGAGTTTTGAATCCTCACGAGCAAAAGTATTCTACCATAGAAAAGGAATGCCTAGCCGTCGTATACAGTGTTAACCATTTCCGACCCTATTTATACGGCAGAAAGTTTAAGATAGTCACAGACCATAGGCCGTTGGTCTGGTTGCATAATATCAAAGATCCTACATCAAGATTATGGAAGTGGAAATTAAAATTATCGGAATATGAATATGAAATAGTATATAAACAAGGGAAAACGAACCTAAACGCAGATGCACTATCCAGGAACCCTCCTCAAGTATTACCAGTGAACACATCCCCCTCCGACGAAGCTATTTCCTCACCAACCTATGTACCAAGACCTTTAACTCCCTCTCCCAAAGAACCACACATCATCACGAAACGTAAGCGAAGCGAGTCGCCAACACTAGTGGAACTACCTAGGAAAGCGCGAAGAAGACACGAACCACAAGAACAGGAGCCAGAGGGTATTAACAAAAGAAAGCGAAGCGAATCATTGGCATCATTAAAGTTACCGAGAAAAGAACCAAGAAAGAATACTGAACCAACGCCGGACGACGGCAGGAATCCAGAAATCGAGTTGGAAACAGTCGGCGAAGAAGAAGAAACCGAGGATACAAATTCATCATCATCTGACAGCGAAGACGAACCGTTATTCGACCCCGAACCGCGATTCGAAATTCTAAAAATCGTCAAATCTAAGGAACCTTTAATCTTGCAAAAGGACCACCTTGTCGTATTCTTAACCTACCAAGGCACGCCTGCGTGCGAGGGTGCGAAGGAGCTCCAAGCGTCAGGTCTACTTCCTGATCCTTCAGAAATTACACCAAATATTCCTAATGTGAAAACTCACGACAAACGTTATATTATATCGATTCCAATACAGGAACGCCCTACAGCTCCAATTACCCGCACGCAAACGCTTGATGGATTAAGAATCATTAGATCAGTATTGGATGAACTCATGCTAGCTAGTTTCTCAATTAGACAGACCGATCCTTTAGGTGACGTCTCTTGGTACTTCATAGACAAACATTTAACGGAATTATTTAAAGATTATCGAATTACAATTACTTACTGTTCCAGCACCATCCGAGTTCCTCCAATCGAAACACGCGCAGAAATAATAGCAAACACTCACAATTCGGTCATCAACGGTCACAAAGGCGTAACAAAGACATTACAAAGAATTCGCGAAAAATTCATTTGGCATAATATGAAAAGTCAAGTACAATCTTACATACAATCGTGTAAAACGTGCCAATTAAAGAAACTAACTCGTATAAAAACAAAACAACCAATGGTTATTACAGACACGCCAGGACGTGCTTTCGATAAAGTCGCTATCGACATAATGGGCCCCCTTCCTATTACATCTTCAGGGAATAGGTACATTCTCACAATGCAGGATCTACTTACCAAGTATTCCATAGCCGTACCCCTCGAAGATACAACCTCAATTACTATTGCAGATCAAATTTTGAAAAGACTAATTGGCATATTCGGAGCCCCTAAAGCCATATTAACAGATCAAGGACCCAACTTAATATCTTCTATTATGAAATATCTAGCTAAACGATTTAACATAAAACAGTACAAAACTTCGACATATAGACCGCAGTCTAACGGCTCCCTGGAACGTTCGCATCACGTTTTAAGCGAATATCTAAAAATACAAACAGATCGAGGGAAGGAATGGGACACTTGGCTAGACCTTGCAATGTTATCATATAATACCAGCGTTCACGAGGGCACCCATTATACCCCCTACGAATTAGTTTTTGGCAGAACCGCTAGAATTCCAAGCACAGAACCAGACATAGACGACCGAATTGATGTCACTTACTTCGAGTACTTAAACGATTTATTTAAAACATTAAACGAAATCCAGGATAAAGCTCGCCAAAATCTGATTCAGGCCAAACACAGATCTAAAAGATATTATGACGCTAAACTAAATATTCAAGAGTTTCACCCAGGAGATTGGGTCTATATATTAAAGGAACCTACTAGTAAGCTAGACAATCAGTACCATGGGCCATACCAGATTTTGGAAGTTTTACCACCGCGTAATTTAAGGATTAAAATTAAAGGTAAAGATAAAATTGTACATCAAGACAAATGTAAAAAGGCAAGACATAGTTTTGTCCCGCAGGATGACCACTTACCTCATCATTCTCGCCATCATGACCCTTCAGCTACCAGCTGAAGCTCTTATTGGCTTTGATTGTGGAAGACCCACGATGAACCACACGACCGTCTCACTACTCGACCTCGAAGAATGCCGCCAACCAGGCCCTGAAATCAAAACCACCGCCACATACATTCAGCTGCTGCAATTATCGGAATACAACTATGCGCACACGATCCAGTGCCAAGTAAATATGAAGAGAATCATCTACTACTGTGGTATGTACTCGCACCTAGCCGCAGTACAAAACGGACTAGCAGAATACATGGTAGAAGTTAACCAAGAAACCTGTAGAAGATTGCACCAAGAAGGAACCATATCAATTTCAAACGCATTAATAACTGGAATCTCCCCAAATTCAACGACTCACCGTACAATCACCTTAGCCGGATCAGTGGGTCCCGACGGATCCTGCACCGGTACCACTTATTCAGATCCATACGGATCATGGAACAATGTATTTGTTCAAGCTACTCTGGAAATAAAAATTAGAAGCCAAGAAGCGAGAGTCAAAATTAACACTGGAAAAATCATCCTACCTTCAGGAACCACCTGCGACTTAACGAAATCAAACTGCATCGACTACGACTTTGGGTACACATTTTGGAATCCAATCCCGACAGACACCTGTGAACTAAAATCATATGATGTGTTATACGAGGGCCAAGCAGAAAAGGCCGAAGAAATCTCAGAGAATCAACATCCAATCATCTACAGTTTAACCACCAATGAAATTACTTTCGCTTTAACAAAAACAAGAGAAAAACACATGTGTGGATACACCATCATACTTACAGAACATCCAAGATTATTTATCATCGAAACACATCCAGGAAACCCAATCATATCCAGAAAACCAATACCTGTTGACGACTTGGACATTTTTACATATATAAATTCAAAATTTATTTACGTAGAGAAACACATCAGGAATCAATTAACCTCATTGTATCGGACCATTGTGATGCAGCGATGTGAATCCGAAAATCAAATCCTCAGGAACGCTTTATCATTAGTCACTCTTGTACCAGAAGAGTTCGCCTATATCATCACGAAGAAGCCAGGCTACATGGCAGTCACAGCAGGCGAAGTTATTCATATTCTTCAATGTATTCCAGTCATCGTAAACGTCAGAAAAACCGAAAAATGCTACAATGAGCTTCCAGTTACGCATAAGAACGAATCCTATTTCCTAGCACCGAAAACTAGAATACTTACCAGATTTGGCACAAACCGCCAATGCAATCCTCTTCTACCAACGATCTATAAAATTGATGAACAATGGGTCAAACTAACACCCTCTCCAATGATCGCTGAAATACCACAGAAAACAAAACCAATATCACAATTAAATTGGAACTATTTAACGCCAACGTCACTAGCAACCAGTGGAATTTACTCACAATCCGATTTGGACAGACTACGCGATCACATCATGTTCCCGGCAGAGAAACCAGCAGTAATCAACGAAATTGCACAAGGAGCAGCAGCAGCAGGCCCGGCACCCAATTCGATATCCCTCGCCGGCCTTCTAGATGAACACACCCTAGAGAAGATAGCTAAATCAACCATGAGCAAATTATGGAACGGATTTATAGAATTTGGTTCAATCAGTGCAGCAATACTTGCAATATTTGTAATTTTCAAATTTATTAAGGGCCTGATCGACATAGTAATCAATGGATACACGCTACACTCAGTATATGGATGTGGAATTCATATCCTCGGCGCAGCATTTTCTTCAATCACTCATCTCTTAATCCATCTGGGAAAAAGGTCACCATCCGATCCACCGGAAGACACCAGCAGTGAACCTGACCCAGAAATCACCAAAGCTTCACCCAACCTCGAACGCATCCGAAGTTTCTGTGCGCGACCTTAAAGCTACTTCACTTCTCATTCGACCTCATGGGAAATAAATTTTGGACGTTTAGCCCAAAATTTATTTTCCCGGGGAGGGAGGTGTTACATCCACATACCCCTCCCCGCCTAAACATATTTTTTCTCGCGCACATTACGAACTATTGCCTACGTATCTATATTATTCTCACATACATACACATATAAACGTATATTATTCATTCATTTACTATCATATTATACAATCATTATTACTTACTTAATTACGTACTCTTAGCAATCGCCAGCCGGTATTACCGACGCACGGTGATACCGACTGTCGGTAACTTATTAACATATACTTACCTCCGATACTTATCTCTATACTTACCATTTGTATACTTATGATTTATACTGTTATACTTACTATTGTAAATCCACTGTTGTATGAGAGCCACTGCTTGAACATTTTCGCAGAGGACATTCTAGAATGTCCTCTGCGAGAATGAAACTCTAGAAATTTCGAGATAAAGGGAGATAAACTTTGCTACTCCTCAAGAATGCCGACTCAGCAAAACTGCTGACTCAGCATCAGCAAAAGATAAAGTCGTACTCAGAATGCTGACCAGAGATAAGGCAGCAGTACCAGAAATGCTTATGGGAATTAGCACCTCTCTGAGGGCCAAGCTGATAAAAGTTAATATAAATACAGGGCCCGGAGCCCTCAGTAGTCAGTCTACTGGAAGCCGTTAATTAGTAAACATCAAGAAGTTATAAAGTACATAAACAATCGTATTAGTGGTAGCGTCTCTCATATTCAACACGTAAGTCTTTGTTATATTGCTTTAATAAATCTTATTGTTACAACTTGTCTCTTTTACTGACTTATACATTGTTGCATTCTATACTTTCGAACCGTGTATCTCCGATCCTTCCTACCTCTTATTTAAACGTGCGGTATCTCGTGAACCCCTATTATTACACAAATTTTCGCTAAATTGACTTAGATTATTTCACGATCGTCTACAAGAAGCTCAAACGTTACCAAATTTAACTCTATTTATTTATTGTTTTATCAACTGCCTGATTCTTATTCCACTCTAACATTCTACTCTTTCTTTCCGCCTTTGCCTGGTAGCGTCTCACAGGAAACGCACCGGACCTCCGATACACACGCTTGGTAGCGTCTCAGAAGAAACGCACCGGCCACTCATCCATTCTCACCCGGCTTGGTAGCGTCTCACAGGAAACGCACCGGGAACGACACCTCTAACATGAATAAGAATCGAGTGGGTATCTAGACGTTTTACTACCTTTGTTTATTAACAATTAGCTTACATACGTTTGGGTATTCTTAGACAACCCGGTCTAAACGACCTAATAAAACGACGCGTCGCGGCGGAATCAAACACCGCGCTCGCTTGGAGTACAAACGACGCATTCGCGAGTTACAAGAGCAATTGGCGCTTGGGATCCCGCAAGCCTCCAGCCATCCGGGCGAACCTTGTTATTCCCCGTTGTCGGAAGCCTCCACCCTCGACCTTGGACACCGAGAACCAGACGTCGAAGTTATTGATTTAACAAACGACAGTGATTGCGAATCTACCGTACTTGTCATACAGCCGCCTCTATCGCCAATTCCTTTTATCGATACGAACCAGGCCGCCAAGGTCCATTCCCATCAGGAGATACCTACGGAGATATTATCTCGATACATAAGCGAACTACCTAATATTCAGAATAATCTAATTCCTACTGATATTTATAATTGGTGCGCTCAAATGCAAGCAGTGTATAACAGTCACGAATAAATACTCATAGCTGCCTAAATCTTGGCATCCGCTCATTTCTCCTACTTTCTCATTACGCCTGCCCCTACCGAGTCGCTACGGTTGTAGGAACGTGTATTCGTTCGCCAACCCTCTGGACGATTCGGCGGACCCACCTGAAGGAAATAACGTTATAATCCTACCGGCAACGCTTCATCCTACGTCGATAATACTTACCTTACGCGCTCCACTTTACCTACAGTCGGGGATACCTGCTGCCGGTACGTCCTATACTCACCTTCCCTATTCCAAACGACGTTCTGAGCCGCTCCAGGACGCCGTTCCTCCCCGTCTGTAACAACCTTAAAACGCAAATGACACAGCTATATCGAAACCTCGTCCAACAAAAATGTACTCTGGAAGAACAGGTATTAAAAAATGCTCTTACCCTTGCATCCAGCTCGCCAGACGAAGCAGCGTTCCTACTCATGAAAGGACCCGGGCATGTGGCCATCTCAGCAGGAGAAGTCCTACATATAATTCAATGCGTACCAGTAAACTGCCGAATACGGAAAACCGACAATTGCTATCTGGAGCTTCCGGTTACACAAATGAATCAGTCTCTCTTCTTGACACCCAGGAGTCGAATTTTGGTACGCGAGGGCACACCGCGAGAATGCAACGGATTACTTCCTACCATGTTTTTTCTCCACGACACTTGGTATAAGATGTTACCCAACCCAGTGGAAAGTACACCACCGCCAACACTGCAACCACTCACCCGAGCAAAATGGAGCTACACCAATCCTGGTCATTTAGCATCAAGCGGAATATACACGACACAGGACCTCGAAAAACTACGAGACCATATTATGTTCCCAATAGAAAGGCCTGCGATGATAAATACCTTGGCGCGAGGGGCCATGGGACACGCCATTCCGCAAGGCAGCGTCCAACTATATAACCTTCTGGACGAAAAATCCCTAGACCGCATTGCCGAATCAACAGGACGCAAATTATGGGATTGGTTCATCACATTTGGTTCGTTCAGCGCTGGACTAATGGGTCTATACCTTATTCTACGGATCATCAAACTAGTAGTCGATACAATAATTCATGGCTACGCCTTGCACTCTATCTACGGATGGAGTCTCCACATGCTGGGTGCCGTCTGGGCCTCCTTGACCAGCCTCTTCATCCACTTGGGGCAAGCGAGAGGAACATCGGCAACAGCACCGACAAACCCACAGCAACAGTTAACAGTGTTACGATAAGTAAGTGTCGATTCAGTGCTCTAAAACCTTTCCTTTCCTTCGCGACTCGACGTGCTATCCACAGCTTGGACGACTTCGGTAAAGACTTTTCGGTTCAATCATTTCGATTCAGATCAATTCTTCAATCTCGATATTGGGTTTAATCCTACGGAGAGGACCACCGCTCGTAGGCATCTGCGCGTTCTGGAGAGGGCAGCCGCTCAGATCGCAACGATCAACCCTTTATCGAGATCTATTTTACCATATTTCGCGAATAGCTAATCAATGCCGAAGACGCACCGAGCTGGGAGGAAGAATCAATTGCGGAAGTTAATCCGCCAGTTCCGTGAACCGGCGATACCAGAATACTACCCTCTGGGGGTAGTTACCCTTCCGAAGATAATCACCGACGTGTTGGTGAACCAAACACCGTGGAGGTTGATCCCCGCGGACGTAACTCCAGCCCTTCCCGACTTGGAGCACATACCACTGGACGACCTACGTTTTGATCGGTATACCGAAATCAGGAAACAACTATTGGAAGCCCATTACTAAGGTAAGATCTTTAAAATCCAATTTCGAGTGGACACGGCGACCGTAACAAAGACCCGATCATAGTCGGACGTACGAGCCGATTGGATCAAACTCGGTTAAAGAATAGTCTTCGGTGCATAGGGTAGCGGTAGGGGTACCTTCCGGACCGTCAATACCGGGACGTGACACATGCATCCCATCGCCGCGCACCATAGCTTAGGATTGGAGGGCGATTTTATAGAGTCGCCATACTCTTGGCCCAGGCGGTTAAGCCAAGGCCCCCGCTTCTCCTGCCGTCACGTATCATTCACAAAACCAAAAAAGGAATTGTGAATGGGTCGTCGCGACGACCAACAGGAGGCTTACGGTGTGATTAGCTTCAGGTACCTCGGGGTCGCTACGCCCCGTACTGCGGCCGACGATTGCCGGGCACAGCCCCTGAGGGGAAACACCTTGAGCTTTAGCAAATGCTGGCAAAGCAACGAAATTATTGGCATTTCAAAAAATAACAGCTCTTCACACCGTCTAGTCATTGTGCATGCAGGAGGAGAAAATGGATTCATTAATGGGGCCGAATTAATTTATAAGCCGACTTCAACAGTAGGAGACTATCACGGGCAAATGGATGCGGAGAAATTTGAAAAGTGGATAGTGGAAAAATTATTACCTAATATTCCACAAAGTTCAGTTGTTGTTATGGATAACGCTCCATACCACTCAACCCAGATAAATAAGCCACCAACAAAATCGTCCACCAAAGCTGCTATGGTGAAGTGGTTAACCGAAAACAACATAACATTCTCTTTTACTATGAGAAAATTTCAATTATTTGATTTAGTCGAAAAAAGTAAACCTCAGAAAAGTTTCAAAATTGATCAAATTATGAGGCTACATGGACATAACATTTTGCGCTTACCGCCCTACAACTGCGATCTAAATCCTATTGAATTGATATGGGCTGAATTAAAAAGAAAATTGAGAGAAAGAAATATTTCAACATACACAAAAGATGAATTAGAGACTTATACCTCAGAAGCAATTAGAGGAATTAGCGTTACTCATTGGAGCAATTGCTGTAAGCATATCGAAAAATTAGAAAACGAATATTGGGAGAAAGATGGATTGTTAGAAGATATAATGGAATCAATGGGTCTGATTACAACAGACGAAGAAACTGATGCTGAATCGGAATGCAGCACAAGTTCAAATAATGAATAAGGTAAAAAAACACATACTATATTTTTTTTATAATTTGTATATGCAGTTTTTTTTTAAATGAAAAATTATTTTAACAGGCAAACATACCCAGAGCACATCGTCTGATCGTCTTGCGTTCCGAGGAAATTTCACTGTCACACCGCAAAAAATTGTACACATTTCAATGAGGCTTGAATGCTTCAGCGTAATAAATAATATATTATATACATAATATTGCATATATTTAAGTATGTAGAAATTTTATATTTATACAGATTTCATATTTATATTTATGTATAAATTGTGCTTTTTATATATGTATACACATACAGAGTTGTTATCACCTCTTTATTTATTTCTAAATTTTTTATTGAGATGTTTTTATTATTGTATTGTTAAAAGGATTTAAATATTAAATATTAAATAACACTTCCATTGGTAATTACATAACCTATACTTTCCTAACATATTGTTGTCTTGTATTAGATATAACTTTTATAATAGTAATATATGTTGCACTACGCCAATGGGGCTCTGTCCGCCACGTGTTTCTCATTATCTCTTTCTATCTCTTTGCCTTCCTCGTCAGTCAGTCCACATGTGTGTGTAACTGCCGCGACGAATAGCGAGCGAGAGAACAATGTATACGTGGGAATACGTGTATCCCTTCTACTTCTCCCGCATACTTTCCGCGGGACTTCAAGTGAGGCGCCTACAGTACTTGTATGCCGTGGATGTGAGGGCAAACCTCCTCCCCAAGTATATAAGGCGTCGAACGTTGTTTATTGCTATCGCAACATATAGAAAAAGTATGTAAAGAATGAAAGGTAAGTAATAACGCTAAGGAAATGATGATAATAACACTTACTCGCGACTTATGCACACCGTTTCGCGAGAAATGTAGTAATTCATGTTTGTAGAATCCATAACGTTTCACGACGACGGCGACGACGATACTATCAAAACGAGTGTGCAGCACATAAAAAAAATGTAACGATGCATCAAGGGCAGCGAGGTGCGGGGAGAGGAATTTTTATGTCACGTGTTCTTCTGCGAAAAGTGCAATGTTTGCGAATACTTGAACACGTCCAAACTTGCAACTTCTACAAAGCATATAACATTGCAATCGACGACGGGGATTTCTTTAATATATCGGGAGCATCACCGAGAGCATCATCGGGACACAGATTTTGTAATATATCGCAAGCATCACCGAGAGTATAATCGGGGCACAGATTTTTGTAATATATCGCAAGCATCATTGTGTACGGCAACGCAAAAACGGTAGTATGAGTCATCAAGAGCAGGAGCTGTACGAGCAGGCCGCTCAATTAAGGTCGAAGGATGAATACAATTTATGGGAACATCGATTTGATGATTATCTCAATTCGTTGGAGGAACGAAGTCGAATCAAGAGACCGCGACTCTCAATCGGTGAAAAACAATCGCTGATTGCTCGTATCGCTAGATTGGAAAGTCTGAAAGATTCGACACGCATTCGATTTGTACATGTGGGTGCTGGACACAGTGCAAGACTCAGATGGCGTGAAATTGATACGGCTTTCGTTAACCGTATATTGACCGGTGTGGTGATAAATTCTAACCACATAGAGCCCCGCAATTTTCTCGAAGATGCTAGGGACATTGTACTCGATCATGTGTGGAACATTGTGCTGAAACATGACAGTGTAAAAATAAATACTATATTTAACGGTGAATTTGTGGCTGGTAATAAATGTGCAAACAAAAGTGTTAACACAAAAAATTGTGAACTGTTTCGCTTGTCTGACCTACGCGAATGGTATGATTTACGCGTCATCGAACCCATTCTAGCATCCTTAGACGAGTTTCAGGAACGCGATAGTGGGTGGGCGCTGTCGCGTATACTTAATTTAACTGTTAATGCAAATAAATTTATGCCGATGAAGGCAGGATGTACCATACAATTACCGCGTGAGATACAACTAAAGAAAGCTGTAATCAGCGTATGCTCGACGGACAATGCATGTTTCGCATGGTCAGTGGTGGCTGCTCTGCATCCAGCCAAAAATCACATATATCGGGCATCGACATATCCTCATTATACAACAGTGTTGAATATCCAGGATATTGAATTTCCAATGACTTTGAACCAAATTAAAAAGTTTGAACATGTTAACAACATCTCCATCAACGTCTATACCATTGAGAATAAGAAGGTGCTACCGATACGAGTCGCCGATAAGAAGATGGAGAGGCATGTCAATTTGTTGTATTTAGAAGGAGCAAACGGCGTGGGACATTTCGCATGGATCAAGAATTTATCTCGTCTCGTGAGCACGCAATTGAGTAAACATAATGGTCGAAAATACTTTTGTGATAGGTATGTATAAAATAAATTTTTTAAATATTTTTTCTTAGATAAAAATTATGTCTCTTATCGCAGATAAATCCAAAATTATGTCTCATATTGCAGATGCTTGCACTACTTTAGTTCAAATGAGAAGCTGGAAGCTCACACCATGGATTGTGAGAAGATGAATGATTGTGCAATCATATTACCAAATGATGATGGTAGGAAGTGGCTCAGCTTCAGCAACTACAGCAGGAAAGAGCGTGTTCCGTTTATCGTGTATGCCGATCTGGAATGCATCCTGGAGAAAACGGATACTGATCGAGAAGCGCCAAGATACACATACCAGCATCATCGTGTATTTAGTGTGGGATACTATGTGCGGTGCTCGTACGACGACTCGTTATCTACGTTTCAATATCGTCGCGATCCTGACTGCGTGTCATGGTTTGTGAGACAACTCAAAGATTTGTCGCATCGTGTAAAGTCCATTTTATCGACCAATGTACCCATGGAAAATTTGTCAACTGAACAATTGCAAAATTTTAATACTGCAGCACACTGTCACATATGTGAAAGACCGTTTGCACAAGATGACAAACGGGTACGCGATCATTGTCATTTGACCGGTCGGTACAGAGGCCCCGCACATTCAAATCACAATCTAAATTATAAAGACGCATTTGTCATCCCCGTGGTTTTTCACAATTTATCCGGTTATGATTCACATTTTATTATCAAGGAGATAGCCACGGCATTTGAGGGCGACGTCACTGTATTGCCGATAACAAAAGAGAAGTACATTTCATTTACAAAATACATTGAATGCACGGATGAAGAATGGAACTCGCGCAAGCGCATAAAATTGCAATTCATCGATTCGTTTAAATTTTTAAATACAAGTCTCGAGAAATTGGCATCTTTTCTTAGTAAAGATAAACTTCAAATTACACGGTCTGAGTTTCAAAAATTATCTACGGAAGATTTTGATTTATTGACACGGAAAGGGGTGTTCCCGTACGAGTACATTGACTGTGTCGAAAAGTTGGAGCAATCATGTTTGCCATCGCGCAATTCATTTTACAGTTCCTTGACTGGCGATACAGTATCCGAAAATGACTACGAACACGCCGTCAACGTGTGGACGCGGTTCTCCATTCAAACGCTCGGCGAGTATAGCGATTTGTATCTAAAGACTGATGTCTTGCTGTTGGCAGATATTTTTGAAAATTTTCGCAATAGTTGCGTCACAAGTTACGGACTCGATCCCGCGCACTATTATACTCTGCCAGGTTTTACGTGGGATGCCATGCTGAAGCATACACGTATCAATTTCGAACTTCTTACCGATATCGACATGGTCCTATTCATCGAACGTGGTATACGCGGTGGTTTAAGTCAATGTTCCAACAGACGCGCACGAGCCAACAACAAGTACATGCAGTCGTACGATGCATCGCAACCGTCGTCATATTTAATGTATTTCGATGTAAATAATTTGTACGGCTGGGCAATGTGTCAACCATTGCCATACGCCAATTTTCAGTGGGTCAACAACAAAGATATAGATGTAATGGCCATAGCGTTAGACTCAACGATGGGGTATATTTTGGAAGTCGATCTGGAGTATCCACAACATCTGCATGATGCACACACAGATTTACCGTTCTGCCCAACGCGCGATAAACCGCCCGGCAAGCGCCAGGAAAAGCTCCTCGCGACTCTATACGATAAGAATCGTTACGTAATACATTACCGCAATCTGCAGCAATGTATTCGTCACGGCCTTCGCGTAACTGAAGTTCACCGCGTATTACAGTTTTCACAATCGCCATGGCTTCGCGATTACATCGAACTAAATACAAAGGACAATGTTAAGTCATAGAGGGGTTTACTGACCCAAGAGCGTACAGCCTATGCTATACACCGTTGGAAAGGTCTCGCCAAGGCGAATCGACTGATACCGTTTTTAACTTCGATATCAGATGGGATCATGTCGAAAAATGGCCTCAAAGTTCGAGATTTTGCGGTTTTGAACAAAAGAATCCGGTCGTAAAAGCCCATCCGGCCCGAGGGACCTCGGGTAGGCACCTGAGGGAAAACCGAGCGGTGTAAGCGATACTCTAGCAGATTGGGACGGCAAATGTGCCCCACCACCTTCATTTCAGTGCCGTGTTGGGCCTGCGTTTGCCGCATGGGCCCCGTTCGAAATGCCCAGGGCGAAATCGCCAATGGATCAGTTGTTTTTCATGAACATAATATATTCATGATAGACGATTCGCAGGTATGAGTTGGGAATGTGCAGGTTAGTATTCAGTATTCACATCATATGTTTCGTTCAATCAATAAAATGTCACTCCATTCACTATTGTAAGTGACGCATTAGTCTGAATACTAACCTGCACATTCCCAACTTATACCTGCGAATCGTCTATCATGAATATATTATGTTCATGAAAAACAACTGATCCATTGGCGATTTCGCCCTGGGCATTTCGAACGGGGCCCATGCGGCAAACGCAGGCCCAACACGGCACTGAAATGAAGGTGGTGGGGCACATTTGCCGTCCCAATCTGCTAGAGTATCGCTTACACCGCTCGGTTTTCCCTCAGGTGCCTACCCGAGGTCCCTCGGGCCGGATGGGCTTTTACGACCGGATTCTTTTGTTCAAAACCGCAAAATCTCGAACTTTGAGGCCATTTTTCGACATGATCCCATCTGATATCGAAGTTAAAAACGGTATCAGTCGATTCGCCTTGGCGAGACCTTTCCAACGGTGTATAGCATAGGCTGTACGCTCTTGGGTCAGTAAACCCCTCTATGACTTAACATTGTCCTTTAGAACTCTTGCCACAAATGATTTTGAGAAAAATTTATACAAGTTAATGAACAATGCAGTGTTTGGTAAAACTATGGAGAATGTGCGCAATCATGTAGATGTAAAATTAGTAACAAAATGGGAAGGGAGATATGGTGCGGCGGCATTGATCGCTAAACCAAATTTTCACAGTCGCAGCATATTTTCGGAAAACTTAGTTGCAATCGAGCTGCGCAAACTGTTCGTAAAATTGAACAAACCAATCTATGTGGGTATGTGTATACTAGATATATCTAAGGTTTGTTTGTATGAATTCCATCACGACTACATGTTACCCACACATAGCGATAAATGTAAAATGATGTATACCGATACAGACAGTTTAATTTATCACATCGAGTGTGACAATATTTATGAACTTATGATACGAGACATTGCTCGATTTGACACGAGCGATTATCCATCAGATAATCGATATGGTATTCCGCTTGTCAATAAGAAGATACCAGGTTTAATGAAAGACGAAAATAATGGTGCGATTATGACCGAATTTGTTGGACTGAGAGCAAAGATGTACGCCATGCAAGTCGATGGCAAGAACGATACGAAGAAGGTGAAAGGTGTCAAGAGTAATGTTGTAGCACGAACTATAACATACGATGATTATGTGCAATGTTTGATGGGCGAGGTTGAAAAGATTTGCCACCAATCGTGTATAAGATCCACGTTGCATGAAGTGTACACGATATCAGAAACAAAAATTGCTCTGAGTCCACACGACGACAAACGATATATTGTACCATATTCAACCGAGACCTTACCATGGGGGCATTATAAAATACCGTCTTAGGCGCACCAGTATACATATGTTTTGTAACTCAAACACAGACCTCGGTAACATTATCTCGCGAAGAACGCAAAATTTGCAGAATGCTGTGGGGGAAGCTTGGAGCATGCAATTCTACTAACGTTAGCAGATACAAGCGAGTGTCACCGCTGTTCCTAAGAAGACCAAGTCCTCCCCCCACCTGAATAATTTACTATATAAACCGTTGTACAGCCAGCCCGCGTCATTTTCAAAAGTGTATCTGTGAAAAACGTAAAAAGTAATACAAGTGAGAAGTGAAAATGGTTGCAGATAGATGGGACCTCGGTATGTAAGCAGATAGAATTTATTTTTTATCAAAATAGTCCAACCTAATATTCTAATATGATCATTCTCATCCCCACAGCTGGAATCGCCACCTATGATGATCGACACATCAGCAATACATATGCGGAGGCGATGCTGCCTACAGATGTATACCACCTCATCAGACAACGCACCTGTTTGCGAGGAGGCATGTGTTGGAAAGACACCGATGAGGGAGTTCGAATATGCGAGGGGTGTTTTCATACACTTCCGCCACGGGAAGCTGCGGAATACATAAGAGAGCCCGTGCATCTGCTAGTGGCGGGCTATGCACGAGCCCATGCCCTAGCCACCTGTAGGCTATGCCACAACCGCATGTATTCGAGGGGTAATTTCGAGAATTGTGTAACATGCGTTACAGCAGTATTACATACCCCGCCCATGGCAATACCAGCGTGTCCAGTCATTGTATGTGATTATTAATATATTTTTTTCCATTATAAACATATATGCAATAAAAAAACAATTTATATACATGGTACTATGATCAATGTCACCCCACCGCATCTCCCCCATCCCTCATCACACATCTCATTTCATTAACTTATATAATATGTTAAAATACATGGTTCAAAATGGCATGATACAAAAGTGGTACCCCTACATTGTTAACTGATATGGAGTAGTCGAATAATCGGTTTAAAGAAGAAGGAGAAGTGATACGGCTTAGGCAATGATACATGCAAGGAAGAATGGAGATGGTCAGCAAAAGATTTCGAAGAACAAAGACATCCTATTTTGCAAGCTACGCATCTTCGAGATATACGTTTACATGCATGAGCCTGGAGATGCAGCGAGATCAGTTCACAATTGCATTCGACAATGGTTAATGACACGTATTGCACCGACATTCGAGGGATTGCCCCGGCGAGGTGATGAGGAGGTATGTACATACCAATGTTTATGGAATTTATTACATGTGAATATTATATCAGTACCAATGTTTATGGAATTTATTACATGCGAATATTATATCAGTTTTTGTGGGTTCTAGAACGATCCGTCTCCACCACCCTCCCCATCGCCGCCGGAGACGCCGCCGCCGGAGACACCACCACCACGAGAGACCCCATCGCCGCCGGATAACTTAACTGAGCGAGTGGCGAGGATTCGATATTTTTTTCCCCCAATTTTCGGTGGCCGCGAATGGCGAGGCCAGTCTATAATCGACGGCGACGACGATAGGCCGCTAAGGCCACCTCGTAGCACCCCGCGGCTTGCGTCTCCACCACCTTCGCCGCCGCCGGAGGAATAATTTTTTTATTTTTTTATCTTTTATTTTTTTATTTTTTATTTATTTACTTTATAATCAACAAAATATATATTCATTTCAAACATATATTATTTCTCCAATTTTATTTATTTACCCGTCTTCCACATTCTCTCCTCATATAAATCTAAGGCTGGACCGTGTACGAAGGAGGGGAAAGAAATTAGATCTCTTTTTAATGATGTAAATTGTTTTAAAAAATACATTTATTTCTGATTTTTTAACCACCAATTATATAATTTGAATACATTTTGTAATGCACAAATCTTTCTTTTTTTTTGGAAAAAACAATCCTTTTCATGGATGCTACATCGAAATGTATTATCGGTATCAAGTTCTTCTAAA